AGTTATTACCAAACCTTTAACGTAAATTCTAAGTCGAAAAAGAAACATAATTCTGTCAAAATGCTTAAAACAATTATCTCCTCCTATCTACAGGTTGGAGTTAAGATTGAGAACAAATGTGCAAAGTTTCAAAGCCATATGTCAATGGACTTTGAAAATTTTTGAGGTATTACAAAAACTTAAACTAAATTCAAAGTCGAAAAAGGGGCATAATTCTGTCAAAATGCTTGATACTGTTACCTTCTCCGGTCTACAGGTTGGGGTCATGATGGTGAACAAATGTGTAAAGTTTCAAAGCCATATGTCAATGGACTTTAAAAATATTTGAGGTATTACAAAAACTTTAACATAAGTGGTTACCCGACGCCGACGCGAACACCGACGCCGACGCTCGGGTGACTACAATAGCTCTACTTATCCTTATCGAATAGTCGAGCTAAAAAGTAACTACCCCATTAGTTTCGAACTCATGGGAACAAGTTTACAAGCATGCTAAGGCAACACTAGAACACCCTGAAATATGGGTGCAAGATCACGTGTTTCAATGTATTTTGCATTTTATACATTTTTTTCAGAATTTGTGGATGCTTAAAAGGCGACAGAAAAAAATCAAATGAAGCTTAAATAGGATTTTATTACATTTTCCATTTAAGTGTTGAGAATTGAGTACCGCGCAAGACGGTGCTAGGGACATGAGGAATGTGGCACGTATTCATTATCCCTCCTGTACAGACTCAATCAAACCCAGTCTGCAGTTCTCTTGTTATTTTGTTGTGATTAATGCTTCCGAGGGATTACTTTGTTTCCAGATTTTTATACTTCACAACAACAGGTGTCAAGTGTTGTGTGGCAGCTGTAAAAAAGTTGCCACGTACGTGAAGTGTTGTAATATTTTTCTGGTCCTTCAGGATCATAGATGCCAGCACTTTTAAGTGTTGAGAATTGAGTACCGCTCAAGCCGGTGCTAGGGGGCGTGAGGGATGTTGCACGTGTTCATTATCCCTCATGTACAGATTCAAACAAACAGAGTCTGTAGTTCTCTTGTAATTTTGTTGTGATTAATGCTTCCGATCCAGATTAAGTTGAATACAAAGTGACTTGTTTGCATTCATTATGATAAAATATTGCAAACAAGAAATGTTGTCGGAAGATACTAACATACATGTACTTAACGCATGATTTAATAGCTGAACATATAGCCTACAATGAAAATACAACTGCGTCGCATCATATTTTCTTATCAACTGCGTCGTATCATTTTGTACAAATCATCATTTTCTTACAAAATAAACATTTCTTCTAAATGAAATTTTAGTAAATTATGTCAAATTATATTTTGAAGTTAATGGCAAACTCTGAAGCGATTATATAATTTATTTCAAGGAAAATACGATGGATAATGCAATATAAACTGCGTCGTATCAACAAAACTTTACTATTTCATGTTTAAATGTTGAATTCTGCTTAAGCCGGTGCTAGGGGGCGTGGACGGTAACTTGCACTTTCCAGTACCGTCCATGAACAGGCTCAATCAAACCGAGCCTGCAACATTTTCAATTTTGTCGTGTTGGGCTTTCTTTAGGGATTCTGTAATTATCTATTTTATGATCACATCCGTGTTATTTGTGCCGTGTGGCGGCTGTAAAAAGTCTCCCCGTACATTTAATCAATGATGTTATATTTTCGATTCTTGAAGATCGTTCAGCACGACATTATTGTTGTGCTTGTGGTATTTTTAGTTTCAACTTTTCGGCATTTTCTAGTTGGGTGGTTCCAATATTCCTACTTGAATAATGTTGAATCACCCTTAGGATATGTTGCCTGCTTTTTAAATTTGTCTTTTGACGTCTTATCTGTGATACGCAGGCTTCATAACCTCTGATCCCCTTTCAAAATTCCATTTTATTTAGTTCCGCCCATTGTTTTCTCGTTTAGGGCACACGCTTTTTATTACTTGGGGACCATACGCCGCTTTTCATGGAATGGCACGGAAGTGTCTCATTGAAGGTTCCATGATAACCGCCGTATGAACACATCTGCGGATGTTTCTAAATTCAAAATTTTACTATTTCATGTTTAAATGTTGAATTCTGCTTAAGCCGGTGCTAGGGGGCGTGGACGGTAACTTGCACTTTAGTACCGTCCATGAACAGGCTCAATCAAACCGAGCCTGCAACATTTTCAATTTTGTCGTGTTGGGCTTTCTTTAGGGATTCTGTATTTATCTTATTTCTTAAAAATTCTGGCCCGCTTCGAGCTTGCAAGTTCGCTGTAACTTTGTTTGACAAAATAGTTGTGCAAGCAACATATACCGAACGAAGCGGAAAATAGTGGAGCGTGTTAATACATACATCTGGTTTTCAGTCATTTCCAACAAAAAGAGTTTTAAAACAAAAACGTACGTTTTTCGTTCCAAGATGGCGGCGTTTGTTTACCTTTTGTAGGATACGACGCAGTTTTGATTCGCAGCCCTATTATTATATCATTACGTTACACCGTAATTTTAGCAATCAGTAAACGTGTCAACATGTCTCGAATTATACTACGTTTGTTTACGTTTTGTAGGATACGACAAAATTTTGATTTCCAGCCCTGAATTATGTTTTATAAAGTATTGGCATTGACCATTTGATTGTATTATAATTATGCTTATTTGTTATACGTACTGTGTGTGCATAGGCATATTGCCCGAATGTATTTTGAAATAAAATCTCGAAACTATTTATAAAACAGCAAGCATTTCTTTAGAGAAAAAATAGGATTTACTCATATATACATGTATTGACAGCATTGGTGTATAAAAACGATATAAACGTAACGATTATCCGATGAAAACGACGTAACAAACATGCAGTATTATAAGCACATAGATGTTCAATATACTGCATGACTGTATATTCTTTAACTTGGCATGATGTTAGAAAATGATAACAGAAACATAAACAAGCGTAAAATCTAAGAAGTCACCGATCTCATTTTCTGCACTTTCCATTTATCATGTTTTTCAATATATTGTTGCACATTTTCAAAAAAAAAAAACGAAAAAAAAAACAAACACGCATACATTAAGTTCCATGAAATGTTTTTGATACCTTTTTTCAATTTCATTAGAGGTACTTCATTTTAATTAAATATAAACAATTTTTAAACCATTTTTCTTTGATAAATGTCACAATTTAAAAAAAAAGAAGAAAATAAACTATATTACGCGCAGGTGTTTACAAAAAGTAATGCTTAGTAGATAGAAAACTTTTCCTAGAATAACACCTCCGCTGTAAAGATAAAATCTATATCAATTTCTTTCTCAAAATTAAATTTTATCACTCTTCGTGATTTTGTCACTATAGACAAAGCAGAATAAAACCAGTGTTTAACTGCCAATAAACACTGGTTAGTGACGACGTGTATATGCTGCTGTTATGTTTTCTCGCTCTAATACATAGTTTACAAAGCCTTTTAAAGCAACAATAAAAAGCATTTTTTATTTATATTTTCAGTTCGTATAATGTTTTCTTTTCATACAATACTGAAATTATATCTCACATACACTCACACCACATATTTGATCCATATCAGTTAATAAATATTTTGTCAAAACGGCGCAAATCAATAAGCAGCGTAATGACGTCATCCTAAGTATACATCTCATTCATAAACGCTGACGTCAATTTAAACATTCTAGAATGATAAATAGGATACTGATGTAAACACAATACAATCCATTCTAAGACGTAAGTTTTTTTGTTGTTGAAAATATGATACAATAACTTGTTTTCTTATTTTTTCTTTTGTTTAATAATTTCTATATATTAGCAACAGTAGGGTGCGAAATCGAACAGCGTTATACAAAAAATCGGCACCGGAAGTTATTTCCGCTTGAAAAAATAACATAAGGGATCTTCCTTATTTAATCTTGTTAGAATCGAAATAATATCGGTCGCTTTGATGCGAAAAGATTAACCACTCAGGCCTACGACCTTCGTGGTCAATTCCTACGCATCAAAACTCCAAACCGGTGTAAAATAGACAATAAACACCGCTCAGACTAATATTATTTCTTAAATATAACATAGCTGGGATAGAATATCAGAACACAGTCACATTCAAATCTGAAATTGTTCTCCGTATACACGAAGCATAAACTGATGTTTACGGGAATCTTTTTTATATGTTTGTATGACAAAAACATTGTTGAACCTGAAATTTACGGTCTTTTTAAGTCTCAAGTTAAACATGGACTATTCTTTTATAATACCTACCAAATGAATTTCCAATGAGGGAAAATGACAGCGAAACTCGGACATCTACATGTATATATAACCATAGTGTTTTAAACACCAGAAAAACACGTTTCTCTGATGTCAAAGTCAGAAAATGGTTTACGCAATTGAAAAGTGCGTTATGTCAAGTTAAATCTTCAAAATAAACATTAATGGCATCGCGCCCACCGCTCTGCTATGCAATCGAATCCATCGCCGTCTGCGTTGAAATCATTTTTAGTCAATTCTTTTTTAAACAGACAATTTCTAAAAGTTCCAAAATATGGTTATATTGTGTTAGTGTCATCCATACAATGTGATGCCGTTGTATTTAGGGGTCGCTTTGTAGAATTGTACGTGTTTCAACCAAAATTAGACAAAAGTGGCGTCCCCTCGTCACACTGTACAGAAGTGTTTGCATGAATGACAATGAATTACATTATGTGAGTGTATTTAATTGGAAGAGTACATATGTTGGCTCAAGTCTAACTAGGTGTTTTCCGTAAAACATGAAAACATAAAATAAAATTTAGTCATAAACTAACCGACAACAGCAAACGGCCATATTTTATCCACCGCTTCTGCGACGAATACCCCATTGCCGCTGTGATGGATCCACCGCTTCTGCGAAAGCTATGGCTGGTGTGCAACTGTATTAAAATAAATATATTATGCTAAAAACCAAAATATAATGGTTTTGTTTTAATCTAATTATTCTACGCTGCTGATATATTAGCTTACTTCTGAAATGCCAAGAGCGTGAAAAAAGGCTTCAACAAGTTTTTCTTCAGCAATATTTGCCGCCTGTTGACCACTTTCAATCAAGTTCCTTTTGGCGTATTCGTACATTTCTGAAAAATCCGCTGGGAAAAAAGAATTAAAGTTAATTTAACAACTATGATATAGTTATAAAATCAGATCATCCATTTGATTTAATCAATATGCTATTATTCTTAATAAT